ACATCATTCAATGCATCATCATCTTCATCATATTTACTATTTAAAATATATTTCCAGATGTCTTTGATTACAACTCCCACAATCCTCAGCCAGTATGGCCAAAGAAGTGTAATCTAACACAGTTGTAAAATGCCACATTGGCCAAGCCTGTATTCCTCACCTGTCTGTTATTGCTGCGTATTTTAAGAAAAACGATGAGAGAATTTACCTGAAAGATAAACAGAACTGTTATATGTATTGGCTTATTACTTGATTGGTATTACTGATCTAACAAATCATACTATATGATACAAATACTATATTTCATTCAGGAACATTTTAAGAAGCAAATTGGTATCTTTAATATAAATTATGTTTTAATTTATTTTATTTAAGTCTCTTAATCTTGTGATTGTAAGTATTTGTGATAAGTTACTGCTGATTTGATAGTAAATGAACAACTTAGTGTGCATGTGTAAAATCTAAACTCAAAAATTATTATTTTCCCACAGTACATTGGTAGGGTTTTGTATAAAACCTCTAATTGTATAAGGACAGTTGTCTATGTGGTTAGTAAGAATTTGGTCTTTTTTTCCCAGGTGGTACCCTCCAGATGTGATAGAAACTTCTGGAGGGCATCAAGGCCCTGTTTCCTACCCAAAAGGCTAAGTGTCAGCATTTTTAGACTTCTTTGAGATTAAAATTCAGTAAATTTTGCTTTAGAATCAGTGCAGCTGAAATCTTATGCTTTTTGAAGGCAGAAGGATTGGGTCAGGTTGGTCGCTATTACAAGCACAAATAAGTGTATATTCTTTATTCTAAATTTGTGCAGGCTAGAAATAACGTTTGGTCAGTTTAAAAATTTCATGTTTAAACTATCATTTACAGAAGATTGATTTATTATCTGCATATATGTGTGGAAACAATTATAATTCTAACCCATTTTTATACCGTTTCGAAGCTGGGTGGACATATTATTTATTTCTTCTTATAAAGGAAAAGGGAGGTCAAACCAGGAAGCAAGCCAGACAGCAAAGAACAAGGCTCCGATGTTTTAAAGTGTAAAAAATCAAGAATATCTTCACCGCACAGCCACAAGGCAAAGAAAAAAAAGACCCACGAAGGTAAAAAGAATATCTCAGAGTTAAGGTTACCTTTATTTTCACAATTAACTAAATAACAGGTGCGTTTTACATTTTGGAAAATGGAGATTTCCAATTGTGCAAGATAGCAGTTTACGTTTAGATATAAGACAATAGGTGCACTGTATGTGGTGGAGTGACAACTAATTATTTCTAAAATGCCTTTTTTTTAGATCAAACGTCCTTAGAAGAATCAAACAAAACTGATGAAGGTTAGTACTTTAATTTTTAAAAAAGCATTATATGAGGTCATTTCTGTTCACTTAAAGAAACTCGTAGACACTTCTAATATGAAAAGTGGAAAAAAGAAATTAATGATCTGGAGAAAAAAGTCACAGAGCTTGAAGGAAGAAATGTATTATTACAAAATCTAATTAGGAGCCAGACAGATTTCTGAGAGCCAAAGAAATGTGCAATTAATTGTGTA